TTGGATTGTGGCCAAACCCGTGAAAAATGCACGAAACTAATTGAACATTTTCTCTTGATCCAAAATAGTTTCTAGGGGAATCAGTGTATTTTTTAACCCGGACAAACCTTTTTGTGACAATCACCGGGTAGTTAAACAAATGAAAGAGAAGATTCTGTTTTCTCTCCACGCCTGAAGGTGATAAGCAACTTGAGTTCTTTGGCAAAGGTAATTATTAAATAAAGATTTTAGGTTGAGTTAGAAGCATCGCGAAACTAGAGAATATAGTTCTACCAATTTAATAACTTCAAGTTTTCATGATTAACTTGGGCATAGTCACTCAGTATTGCGTCTTTGGTTGGCCTTGATGCACGTGATATTTTTGTATCTTTTCTAATTTCAAGTCAAGTGAAAGATACCTCCGGACGCGAGTTCATAAAATTAAATACTCTGACCTCAATAATTGATCAATATATGGATCTATTAATTGATTGATTTGTCGATGATGAGATTGCATGGCTCTCTTACTGTCCTTGCAGTTCAGTGCATTTAATTTGGGTATGCTATGACACATTCACAAGTTATGTGCCCTCGTGTTATCAAAGCTAATAATCAAATGAGGAGACAACTCTCTAGAATCGAACACGGGATCCTCAAATAACTAATGGCGTCTACTTTATGGCGGATCAGTGAAGACAAGCTGTTTAAATAATTTAGTTGTAACTCATTTGTTGTTTTAATTGTGCGAGATAATTGAATCGATTTAACAACAATCAGTGGCCGTCTTTCTAACGTCACCAGATGAAATTATATTTACTTTTTCGGTAGAGTAATCTAAGAGAAGCAAAATCAATCTTCAGTTAAGGCGGGAGAAGTATAAGGTTTTTGAATATAGCATGATACTTTGCATTTCCAAGTTTAAGTGGGAAGAAAACTTCTCAGATGTAAAACGCGTAATCTTTCGTCTTATTTCGCGGTAGCGATGAAAAGGACCGCCTGCTGTATTTCTGTGTTTTCTGTGTTTCACCGTTCCCCAAAGTGTAAATCCTCTCTCATTAGGAGATATAAATTATACACTAGGAAAGGGAGGAAATGGATCATTCGTAAGCCAGTAACGTATTTTGCAACGACTACTTTCGATAGTTGGAAATATTTAATAATAAGTGGCCTGCTATAGTGGCTCTTAAGGCAACATAAAACTACGCCCCATTTCATTATTTACAGTTACAGTATTTTAAAACAGGCCGAAAATATCTCGTTTCATCCCCACTCATGCTGTGATTATGTTGCGTGTACTTTCCATGATAAAAGAAATTAGATTTCCTTCCACTTTTACCGCTTGTGTATAATTGACTTCCAAAAGTTGAATCGATGCTAGCTATATCACGTCTTCCACAACACCTATGGAATTACAGGTTTAAATTCATTGTCGGAATTTTCAAATTTCCGCGAAAATAGACGACCTTGAGAGCCTGTTATATTCGATATTTACGTGGAATTTCCGGAAATTTCTATTGAATACAACTATTTTGTAATTTGTGACATCAAGAAAACCAAACCCAGATTTCATCACAACTTGCCTTTGAATTATAGCCAAAAAACCGTCATTTGTTTCAATAGGCGAATTTACTTCAGATTACACGGTTGCAATTGCTCAGGTTAAAGAAACAAAAAACAAAAAAAAAACAAAACAAAACAAAAAACATTATCAAATACAAGTTACGGAGGAAATAAAATGTATAGGAACCTATAAGAACATAACATTAGCGGAAAATTACAACACAAAGATGGTTACAAATTCGCGCCTTTCCTCTGATAGGGAACAAGAGAGATTTAACACCCACTATTGTCAAAGTGGAAGAACAGAAAAGCAATTGTTCTCACGAAATTTTCGATCTCGCGTTAGCCATTCGCTAAGCCTTTTGAAGAAATGCTTGTGAAAACACAGCCAGTGCTTGTAATCCACATTTAAGAGTTTGTAATCCATAATTGCATGATAACAAATAAGATTTGTAAGTGTCAACTTTGAGTGATGAAACGGTTCGATTTCTCCCGTCCATCTCAGTAAAGTACTGTATCAGGAGAAATATTTTTGCTGTGCGATATTGAGAATTATTGGTCCAACTGACAAAATAACATTCATCACTTTTGGGTCCCTGACCAATTACGTAATGACCACTTTGTAAGTTTTGCTCGAAGCCAGGTATTGGGAGCGCTCCCGACCTCTCGCTCTGTCGTTTAGTTAATAATAGGGCCCAATTAGTATCTGGAAGGCACCACTTCGAGTGGAACTTCTTTTGTGCTATTGCTTTAAGTGCCGCTCACCTGTGTGGATAGTCTTTTTAGTAGTATTTCATCTGCATGTCAGCACATAATTTACATTTATCAGAAAAAGATATTGACGGTTGTTAGATATATTCCTGTTGAACAGGAAATCTCCAAACAAGGTGAAATTAAGATAATTGTGTTAGACTAGCTGATTCCCTGACAATAGGCGAACCGACCCCGTGTTAGATTCCGGTAATATAATAGACGTACAAGTTCTTGTGAACTCCTCACATGACTGGCTAGAGACGAACTATAAAAACAAAGGTGCGCCTTGCTAAAACCCTGTGTCAGAAATTCGCAATAAAATAAGAAATATAACTTCTTTTTAATTAAGTGGTAACGGAAGTTCTAAGCTTTCGTGAATTGAAACAAAAGAGGGTTATCTCCCTTTGCCTCCTTTGCATATGTCTTAAATTAAAATTCGCACGCACTTTGTCAGTTCTTGAACGGAACGCCAAGAAAGAGTGCGGTAAGAAAAACTGAATAAGTGGTCTAGGTGAACTTGGTAATAAGTTAAGTCCTATCAGTCCTTGCCATCATACTTTTTATGAAAAGGTTTGATTCTTCATTTTCTTGAAGTTTTCAAATTGTTATTATCATTATTATCATTATTATTATTTCATTTTCTATTTTTTATTCTTTAAATTTTTTTTGCAGCCTTTGTGAATAACATTGCAAACGAGACTCGAAGAATTAAAATGAGGAGCAAACAACAAGGAATAGGTATGTAACATCTGGATGGTCGGTATAAAATTTTCAGTGTAGAGACTTACTTACTAAGATCTAATGCTTACTTTTTTTAATAAAGGACTGTAAGCGGGGCTTAAATGCGGCTCTTAATTTAGTAATCAGAATGAGCTCTAAAAAAATCGGCGGCAAGGAATAAATCTCAAAACGTCTATCTTCAACTACTCGTTTCAGTAGTGTTCTTAGCTGCGAGGGTCTCTTAATTTCATCTCTTCACCGCAGTGCAAATATATGAATTTAATATATCTAAAATCATCATTCATCACTCGGATGGTTTATTTGGACCCAGTTCCCAGTTGGCTAGTTAGCTCAATTAGTAGAGCGCTGCACCGGTATTGCAGAGGTCATGGGTTTAAATCCCGTACGGACTTTAATTTCTTTCGGGTCCTATTTTCAACTACTCGTTTCAGTAGTGTTCTCTGCCGCGAGGATCTCTTAATTTCATCTCTTACCTCATCGCAAATATATGAATTTCATATATCTAAAATCATCGTACGTCTCAAAATGTTTCACCATCTGCTTCATGCAGTAAAAAGAACAGTCAGTTGACTTTTAATGCTAATAGTAGCACATGACCATATTTGTTTATTTTTTTTTTCTGAGTTCTGTAAAATTCAATTTCAAAACTCGATCGGCTTGTTCAATTTTTTTCATTGAAAATATTTCCTTGTTATGAGTAAATTCAGTATGAAGTTCGCTGGTCCCTTTGAATAGCAAGTCAGTGTCTGGTCAGTGGTATGATCGACAGCCACATTTAGTTTTTTTTTTTTTTTTTTAATGGCCTCCTAAAAGATCAGTTAGTGCAGAGTTTTTGGCTGGTTTATCGCCCTTAAAGTCGAGATAAAGTCTTTACTTGTCTAAAAATCAATGCATTTTCGTGGAAATCAATATTTACGGAAGTAGAATCCCCAGGCTTAACCTATGAAATCAAACAAATCGTATGACACAAAATAGCAAAAATAAAATCGAGTAGAATAATGTGTTTATGGCAGTTTTGAACAAATTTCATGAGTTCATTTACTTTTTACTGAAAATGAGCACAACCTACATAGATTTGAGCAGGTTTCAATCGATTAACACGCTGAGAATCAGAATTCAAGGAGCTGAGAGATATATCCTCCATACTTTTTGTGTGCACTGTCTTCAGTCATGATTTCGAAAAGCAAAGACAAATTCTTTTTAACCTGATCACACGACAACACCCGGTATAATTCCTTTTCCGAAAATGGGAACATATTAGAGCTAGAAAGACCGGTAACAAATCAATCTAATTGGTTGATTGCAGTTTTGGAGTCCTTCCTGACGGATCTTAAGTCTTAAGACTCCCCCTATTGACCTATTGATCGGTTGGTCGGTCATTAGCGGGAAGGAAAAAGGGGGGGGGGAGGGAAATGGTTCGAAGGAGTTGTGTCTCGATAACACTTACCTGATTCCCCAAGAAGACTCTGTAATATTCTAATGACTCTCCCCCCCGTCCCCCCTTCTTTGCCACCAATCCTGAGTTGTTGCGAACTTTTTGTCATTATTCTTTCAGTGTATCATGTTTGTAGTTTTTCCCCCAGTCACTAGGTTATTTAAGTCTGTAACTAAGCCTTATAGCATACCATAGCTTGAGTGACTTCACACCGCATAATGACTTCTTTCCTTCAGGCTCAGCTCTGCTGCTTCTGGCACTTTCTGTGACTTTTGAACTTCTAGCATCAACGTGTGCAGCCCCGATGAATTTCCAAAACTACACTACTGTCCACTTGAAAGGAGCAGAGGAAGTAGAAGTACCAAAACAAGTAACAAATAACAGGACATCAGAGACGTGTAAGTAATAATGAGTCTCTATTTTCTTACGTGTCTCGATACCTCTTATTCATTTTCATTTATTTTTATTATTATCATAATGATTATAGTTATCACTATTATTACTATTATCGTTATTATTTTTTTTACCAGCCAAAAACTGTGCTGAGCTGTACAAATCCGGTCCAAGGATCAGCGGTGTTTACACAATCGACCCAGCTGGTTCAGGCGCCTTTAATGTATATTGTGACCAAATGACAGCAGCTGGTGGGGGATGGACAGTGATCCAGAAGAGAATGGATGGCTCTGTTGATTTTAACCGCACCTGGGATGACTACAAATATAGCTTCGGTAACTTTAGCGGTGAATTTTGGCTCGGATTGGACAAAATAAACCGCCTGACTCGAAACAAGACAAACAACAAGCTTCGAGTAGATCTGGGAGTAAAAACTGGCAAAACTGCTCACGCTGAGTATGACTGGTTTGCGATTGGCAACGAAATGGTTAAATACCAGCTGTACATTGGCAATAAGACTAGTTCGTAAAACATTTTTTAATTTTCATTGTTTAGATTTATCTATTATTTTCCTCATCCGTTAAGAATCCCCTCTCCCTCCCTCCCTTCCCTTCCATATTAACATAGGAATAATGGTTTGTTCCTCTAACCGTCTGACTATTCTACTCACGCGGGGTTGAGTCCTAGCTTCTCTGTTGAAAACGTTAGTTTGCTTTGGAGTCTGCAGTTCAATGACGATGCAGTTACTGAACTCAGCTCTAGAAAGATACCATAGTTTGTTTAACCATCCGACTTGCTCACTTTTAATCAAATCAGGATAATTTACCCACCTCGTCGAATAATAGTTAATCAGTTATCGTCATATGCAATTGAAAGTTCGTGACTTTAATGCTAAGAGAAAACTATTTCGTCGAAGCAGCAAGTAGCCACAGTTTAAATTGAGTTTTGTTCTGATTGTTTTTAGTTTGCTTTGTTTTTTTTTGTTTTGCTTTGTCTGTTTGTACGTTTGTTTGTTTTGTCACAAACATCAAACTTGACGCTTCGAAGGCGTCAGCATGATCCCAATGCTGATTCTTTTCGTTTTTTTGTTTTTTTTTTTTTTTTTTTTTGAAGATGAGACTGCGACCTTTGATTCCTTCGGTCCTCACAGGAATCAAGTTTTTGGTACCTGGGATAGATATCCTCATGATTGTGAGGAAAAGAGAGGCGGAGGCTGGTGGTATAGTGATAGTAACTGTGCTGTCTGGTCAAATCTCAACGGGCTTTACTTTGATAATAAAACCTCGCGCGCAATCTACTGGAGTAAGTTGAGTACCGTACCAGAGGAAAGCATTCCCAGATCAGCAGAAATGAAAATAAGACCAGTCGACTTCTTTTCTTCTTTTTCTCAGTATACTGACTGAAAAGCCATTTTTCTGTTTTGTTATTGTAGACCATTCATAGGTCAAAAGATACCTTTCATTGGTCTAATTCAACTACCCTACATTCATTAATAAAGAAAGTATGTTTTCAACAACAAAGGCTCGTGATTAGTTTTTCAGGTTTACCTAAGGAAGTAAACATATAACAAGATTGAGTATTAGAAAATGTTCATACTGGTATAAAGTAGAACAAATATTTACCTCGGTGTTGATGAAAGTGGTGGATTTGTAATTACACCTCGGTGAGTAATCGCTAACTATTGATGTTTTGACTTTAACACGCAAGGCTCCCTTACAAGTGTCATACATTGCCATATTTACTAGAGCGAGCGCTGTCCGATCTCCTCCATAAAAGTGCTAAGCCTTAGGTATAGGCCACACCTATGATTTTCCATTTGAAAACGCATACCTTTTAGGGCACGTCCACCTATTTTTAACACTAAAACAACCAAAAGAGGAGCCTAAAGAAAAAGTTCTGTCTTTTGGGACGACAATAAACGGAGGCTTTTGAAGAAAAAGATTGCTTTTACTTATTTGTATAGACAATAGACATTAAAAGCAAAAAAAAAAAAAAAAAACCCAAACACCTAAAATGAGAGGACAACGAATTCATGTCCACAGTTAAACAAAATATTGAAACGTCTGTGCGTAGGACGAACTTTCTTACCCTCACGTATAGACGAAAGTAAATACTCATTCAGACGTTACTCTCGGTAGATCGGGCCCTGAGAGCAGTTATACTCTTAGGTATCTCTAGAATAAGCGCTTCATCAAAGAATGATGCAGATTCAAGCAAATTCATTTTCCGGGATATCAACGTTTTTAAAGATGGAACTGACCATAGTTCTCTTCTCTCAGGTAATTTCAGACACGGATTACAAAGGGAGTAAACTTAATGGCTCTTAAGCATAAAGCACGCCCTGAGACCCTGAAAAATACTTCCCCAAAATCAAAGGTCCAACCGAAAGAAAAGCCAATGGAGACGGCTGGGTTTGATCGACCGGTGTCCAAATTACACCTTTACATGTTTTTCAGATCACCCATAAAATGATCGAGTAATTACGGACTCCAGCACATGATACTTTTACACCATAAAATGATACGTTAACCAATCAGTCACAGTGATTGAATTTTGTCTTACACCCAAACTATGGCCGGATAGTTTGGGTGTAAGACAAAATTCGATCACTGTGACTGATTGGTTAACGTAAAGGTTGCCATGGTAAACCCAGCAGAGCTTCTCCTATTGTCGAGGATTTCCAAGCCTACACTGATTTCTTATTTTGATTTTTGGCGAGAGGCCCAGGTTCAGCTCGACAACAGAGACCACTACCGACCTCTTGAAAACCCCATGGTCACTGACACATTTAAAAAAAGTTAATGAGCTTATTGCTCAACTGCACAATGGCAAACATATAGACGATATGACAAAAAAGTGGCTTTTACTGGATTTAATCTTTAGGTATTTTCCCTTCAGGGTTTGAATTTTCGCAAGAATAAAGATGCCCAGTTTCCGATCCACTATAAATATGGAATGGAGCCACCCACATGTCGCTTCAAGCACTATTAAGAGGATCTCAAAGAGGTTCTTGTAATGGCTTTGCGGCTAAAATTTTTTTACGGTTAAAATTTTAGCCAATTTACGGCTAACGGTTAATTTCTTTCCTTCGTTCTTAAAAGAGCAATTTTTACGATTAGCCATTTTTTTAAGACCAATTGTTAAAATTCAACTTTTAGGCGTAATGGCCATTTTTTTCTTGCCGTCTAACGGCATGATTCCTTTAACTCCCAGAAGTGACCAACACAGAATTTCTGCTCGCAATATCGATACTACATCAAACAGAAAGGTGATGAGAATAAAGAAAAAATACCAATCAGGGGATTATAAGTTGATCCAATTCCATATAACATTCTGCAAAATAAAACTATAAGAATCGTATGGCAGACACCAAGAAGAATTGATATTGAGATCTTAGCACTGGAAGGGTTAAGGGTCGTTCACGCGGCTAGCGCTGTACTGAAGAATCTATTGAACTATTGGCAAAGATGAAGCTTTCTACATGTGGTACATTGTCATAATGTTTAACATGATAGCGGTGTAACCAAGGGAACTTCTGAAGACACACTTAACAATAAGAGCTGATCGAAGCTCTCTCAAGTCAGAAAGAGAGGATAATTGCAGCAGAGAGTTTGCACAAAACGACCCGTTTATCGTGATTACTATAGACAAGAACTTTGCTGCAATTATCAGAAAAGTTAATATCGTATTTTGCCATTTCCATATGGATTTTCACTAAAGCAAAGCTAGTATTCATGATAACTCTCCTTTTCATTGGTTCATAGAGTTTGTTCTAAAGATTTAAGATATTACACTTTTAACCCCCTGAGAAAAGGTAACAAGATATTTTTCAGGCAATAAACAGAATAACTTATTTTCGGTAAATCAAGGAATTAATCCAAACTGAACACCAGCAATTTTGAAATTAAGCACCTTTGCTTTAATCACCTCGCGCGTAGTCATAATAGCGAGATACGCTTGCTCTCCACCTGTAAAACCGATAAGCTTCTTAAGTTGTCACAGTGAGTCACTAAACAAAGATTTTTGTTGAGTTAGAAATACGATCAAACAAGATAGGATAGTGCTAATTCGTTAGACTGAAAAAGCTAACAGACACATTGAATATCACATTTGTGGCGTCGGTAAACGTGCTGAGTTTCCGTGGATATTATCTGAGATATAATGATTACTGATACATTTTTATGTTCTGATATCTTTTGATGCAAACGTATGAGAAATATCTGTCTTAAAATTTATTTTTGACCCAAGAAAAATATATTTAGTATGTTATCCAAATTGAATGACACATTTGTGGCGTCAGTGAGCGTGTAAATGAATTAATGCCAAGAAGAATCTCTTAAGCGCATTTAAATCCAGTGTTATCTTTCGAAGCAAGGTTAGTTATATTTGTAAGTGCGTATTTGTACTTGAAGGGGTCAATTATGACAGAATTTGGAATTTTCTATCGTTTTCTCAGTATATAAAACCCCTTCTATGTAAAACCTGCATTTAGTGGGCACTCCTCTATTCTTCGTACTGGCCGCTTTTAAAATATAGCCGGGTTCGACTATCTATAATTCCCTATGCTCAGTGTTGGTGAAAATAGTTTTTCATTTTCAATTTCCTCTCATACGCTCTTCATTCAGACCACCGGGTCGCATGTCAAAGGGAAGACAATCACATGTTTTAGCGAAAAAATTGATGATGGACTTACTGAAAGAATAGCTGACTGACTTATCGAACGATTGCTTTACTAATTGGTGCGGCAAGTGATTCCTTCGCCTCTGATTTTCAGAACTTAAGTTTTTGCCCCGTACCCCAAACTGAAATATAGTACCTCAAAAAATTTGACCAATTTCCTTTTGATCCAAAATAGTTCCAGGGGAGTCGGAAAATTTATTGAACCAGATAAGAATCTTTTGTGACTGACATCGAATGAACGAAAAAGGAGGAGTCACTTGTTCTGTCGCCACGCTCGCAGGTGATAAGCCACTCGAGTTCTTTAGCAAAAATATGCTAGTGAGTTAGAAACATCCCGAACCTAGGTTAAAAATAGTTTAACTTATCAATGGATAACACAGTTTCACTGCTCTTGTTTATTGAAATAAATGTATCAGAAAGAATTCCTCAATTTAACCTGATTTGCTTTGCAATTTCATTTCTTTTTATGCATCTGATGAGGGGAAACCTTTTTTTCCTGAGGGTCAATGGTTTACTCTAAAATTACTAACCTCAACATTCTAGCCAACAGGAAAAACTGTAATTCTGTTTTGCTTCATAGCTCTGAGGATTAACTGACATTTTTCCCTTTAATCTTGAATTCCATCGGTAACGTATCTCAAATTCTTACTCTTCACCATACGCAGTTGCCACGAACTTGCTCTTGGGGAGCAATGATGTACTTCGCAACTACTACGAGGCTCGACATTTTAAACAATAGGAAAAATCTTATTTTCATTTTGTTTCATAGCTCCGAAGATTAGGTAGCTAAATATTCATAGTTATTCATGCAACTGATAAAATGAAATTTATCACTTTTAGGCCTCAGATGTGATAGACAATGATACTCTAAAATATCTATAAATATCATCATTTAACCTTATTTCGTGGCTCCTAAGCCGGACTACATGAAAATAAGTCCTAATAATTTCAGATTCCGGTATATGAAAGATTATTGCCATTTTCACCATTAAATAATAAATCCCATAACTGAAGTTGAAACCAACCACAAATTCTGCCTGAACGCTCTACGAAATTCTCACGAACTCGCACGTCCTCAAACAAAGGTCGCTTTAAGAAAATTGTTATTTTCCCGTTAGGTGTATCATATATCCTGCCGAAAAAACATAAGTTTCCCTTGCTTGCGTTTAAGAGTGAAAACTTTACGGTAAAATCCGAAGGTATATTTTGTGCAATTTTCAGCGTGTTTGAAAACTTTCTGAACATGACTTTCCAAGGATTCGCTGAAACAGTATTCAATTCAACGGGTTACTTATGACGGTGATTCTGGAAAAAATTACTCCAATTAGTATTGTCTCTGGCGATAACCACGACTTGACGAGGCATTGATGTATAGAACATGTGCGCATGCAGCTCTGTCAGCTACTTATAATTCGGCAGAAGGTTGAGTCCAATTAGTATTAACAAAACCACTGATACATGCGTTAAAAATTTTGTAATTTCAGAATATATGTACTATATGTACTTTAAAAGCTCTGCGTGATGTTCTATAGTTTCTTTTAATGTAGCATGCTTGGGGAGAGTTTTTTCAGGAGGCACACTATTCTGTGACAGTAAACTTAACTAAAAATAATAATAAAACAACTAATATCTAACTGAAACCTGTAAAAGAGCTTTTCTCGCTTATAACTTTCCACAACTAACGACAGAATTTCTAGTGTTTTGCTATTTATTTTCATGTATTCCACCATGAATGAGGGTCAGGGCTTGGCGCCCATTGTGCCCGAAATAACTTTAAGCGTGTCTGAGAAGATCTCCTCTTTCAGATTGCAGTCAGATGTGCTGGGATTTCATTACAACTATTTTACTATTTATCCTTCAAGCTTTACAAGTTTTCAAGAGAGCCTATTGTTGGACCTGAAATAACTGTTTGTGGTAGGGACAGTAAGATACGAGAAGAGTTCACCGTTTTCTCTCCACGTGCAAAACTGATAGGCCACTTACCTTCGTTGAGTGAAATGCTAAATAAGGGACAAGTGTAAGATGGTGCTAATCCGTTAAACTGATAAACAAAACAGAGGTATTGAATATCACATTTGTGGCCTCGGAGCACGTTCTGGATTTCACTGAGTGTAAAAATTTATAAAATATAATGATTTCTGATACAATGCTGCGGCAAGCTATAGATTTGAACAAGATAAGATATCTACCATCGGCCTATGAATGGTCTTATGGAACTGTCCAGGTCTCTATCCAAGTATATTTCAAGAAGTATATATGCAAATAAAATTTATGCAGGAAACTGACCTAGAAGTACAGTGCTCTGGAGAACGGAACTCCGCCGCAAATCTACTCACTAGAGTATTTATAAAACACTCAGTAATTGGATAGCGATTGTATATCGAGTTATAGATGCACGCGCGAGAGAAGGGTAAGAGTTGATGAGAGTTGCTCGATGCGCAGCTGAGAGTAAACTGAGCTTCTTGAGAGCTCTCCAAACTTCCCAAGTGTATTAATAACTCGATATAAGTACAGTTAGAACAAAGCATGTAAACAATAGTTTTACTCGGAAAAAAAAAAATTAAAACTGTGTCGGGTTTACCAAGTAATCATGTTCTACTCGAAAACTATGAAAAGGCAGAAACGACCAAGAAATATTTCGAGACCAAATATGTATTCAAAGAACTGAAATTTTTCTTCTCTGGAGCGAAAAATGAATGAAATTTTCTATGCGAGACTACGTAGTAGATTCAGTATGCTTGAATCGTCGTTTACTCGAATTCACGACCAGAAAATTGCATAGGTTTGTGTTGAAAATTTTTAAAATTCTGAAATTATATGGTTTTGAAATGAAAATATTGTACTTTGACAATAATTTTGAAATCCAGCAGCTGAAAATGATACTAACTGTTCGAAAAACGACGCAACATATTCAGTTAAGCTAGTGATCCCTTTTGCTGAACCCTTTTGAGTCTTGTCGACCACTACGCTCGTCAAGTTTTGTTGAAACATCCGGCACCCCATTAGATAAGCTTGAGCCTTTTAACAACTGTCCAGTTTTTTTCACTTTAAAAACTTCGGAGAAGAGGAAAGGGGAGATTTCTCAACATTTATGATGATAATTTTGATGATTTTGAACCATGACTACGATTAAATCAAGCTACAAATCATCACACGATTGTAGTGAGCCAATGCAGCGAGCATGTGCACCCTTACACAATTACGACGATACTCAGTCTCGCAGATTTCTTCATCTACAGAACGAACATCATTTCCTTTTTTGTCCTTCGACATCCAATACCATATTTTTTGATACTATCAACAAGTTTGAAAAAAAACCCTTATAGTATATTCCTGACTACTTGGCACTAAGTGCATTGAAGAGCGTACTCGTCCCCGCGCATTTGGCAATGTGATTTGGACTGAGGTATTCTTTCTAATACAATATTGATGCAAACTGCTGACGCGTGCTTGTCAAATACTTTGATGGTGACCCATAAAATATTAGGCATGTTATTTTGATTACTCTAATTCCGTCCTTATCACAATAATGAAACGGTTTGGAGACACAAAATGATCCGAAAGACACAAATGCTTCAATAGACACAGATGATCTGACAGACATAAATGATCTAACAGACAAACATGATTCAATAAACACAAATGCTTCAATAGACACAAATGATCCAACAGACACGAACGCTTCAATAGACACAAATGACTTAACATACTCAAATGATCTCATAGACATAACTGATCCAAGAGACACCAGCGCTTCAATTGACGCAAACGTTTCAATAGACATAAACGATCCAATAGACACAAATGATTCAGAGACACAAATGACACCACGGGCAGAAATGATCCAAGAGACATGAATGATTCAACTAGCAAAAAAATAATCCAAATGATAGAAATGAAATGATAGATAACCCAGTTGCCCCAAAAAGCCGTCTGCCTTCAGAAACATGGACCTCTTGATTTACTTTGAGGAAGTTTCCAATACCCTTTGAAAATAACGAATTCGTAACTAAAACATGAATTATGAATTCCGATTTCTTCATCGTCAATTAAAACTCTCCGTTAAATCGGATTCGAAATTTAGAAAAAGCTGTCTATTTAGATCATACGCGATGCACTTTTTAAAACGCCACGAAAACGCTTACATCATACTAGAAAATCGGGGGAAAACATTTCAGAAAACGGAATGTTAATCAGTGTAATGCTTGTGCCGGAAAACCGGTGTCGTATATCAAGTTTTCACCTCATTAGCCGCTTCAAGAAAAAAAAACTAAACAAACACCGAGGTAACCCACGCTGGATAACCAATGCAAAAATGTTAGGAAAAAAAAGTGTACAAATGAGTTTTTCCATGCCCCGAAAAACATGCTGAGAACATAATTTGTTTTCTCGTGAAAAAGAAGAATTTTTTTTCCGTGTAGAAATTGGTGATAAGACTTCCGAAGGCAATTAAAAAAGGGTTTGGACGTGTAGAAATTGGTGATAAGACTTCCGAAGGCAATTAAAAAAGGGTTTGGACGCGTTGAAAACAGTACCAACGTATTATCATCGGCCCAACTAGTATCTGGAAGGCACCACTTCAAGTGGAACTTCTTTTGTGCTATTGCTTTAAGTGCCGCTCACCTGTGAGAATAATCTTTTTACTTGTATTTCATCTGCATGTCAGCACATATTTCACATTTATCAGATAAAGATGTTGACGGTTGTTAGATATTTCCTGTTGAAAAGGAAATTCTGAAACAAGGTGAAATTAAGATAATTGTGCCAGACTAGCTGATTTCCTAACAATAGGCAAACCGAACCTGTGTTAAATTCCAGTAATATAATAACGTACAAGTTCTCGTGAACTCCTTACATGACTGGCTAGAGACGAACTATAAAAACAAAGGTGTGTCTTGTTAAGACCATGTGTCAGAAATTCACAATGAAATTAGAAATATAAGCTAATTTCAACTAAGAGGTAAAGGAAGTTCTAAGCTTTCATGAATTGAAACAAAAGAGGGCTTTCCCCCTTTTGTTTCCTTTGCGTATGTCATAAATTAAAATTCGCACGCACTTTGTCAGTTATTGAACGGAGCGCCAAGAAAGCGTGCGGTAAGAGAAAGTAAATAAGTGGACTAGGTGAACTTAGTGGTAAGTTAAGTCCTATTAGTCTTTGCCATCATACTTTTTATGAAAAAAGTTTGATTCTTCCTTCTCTTGAGGTTGTCAAATTATTGTTATCATTATTATCACTATTATTATTTCATTTTATATTTTTTATTTTTTTAATTTTTTTGCAGCCTTTGTGAATAAAATTGCAAACGACACCCGAAGAATTAAAATGAGGAGCATACAACAAGGAATAGGTATGTAACATCTGGTAGTCGGTCTCAGTGTAGAGACTTACGTGCTAAGATCTAATGCTTGCTTTCTTAAATTAAGGACTGTACGCGGGGCTTAAATACGGTTCCTAATTTAGTAACCAGAATGAACTCTAAAAAAATCGACGGCAAAGAAAAAATCTCAAAACGTCTCAAAATATTTTACGATCTGATTCATGCAGTAACAAGTACAGTCACTTCAACTTTCATGCTCATAGTAGCACATGACCATATTTGTTTATTTTTTTTTTCTGAGTTCTGTAAAATTCAATTTCAAAACTCGATTGGCTTGTTAAATCTTTCCATTGAAAAAGATTTCCTTGTTACGAGTAAATTCAGTTTAAGGTTCGCTTCTGCCCTAGGAATTGGAAGTCAGAGTCTGGTCAATGGCATGATCGACGGCTATATTTAGCTTTTTTAAAAAAAAATGGCCTCCTGAAAGATCAGTTCATGCAGAGTTTTTGGCTGGTTTATCGCCCTTAGTGTCTAAAAATCAATTCATTTTCGTGGAAATCAATATCTACGGAAATAGAATCATCCTCAGGCTTAACCTATGAAATCAAACAAATCGTATGACACAAAATAGCAAAAATAAAATCGAATAGGATAATGTATTTTCATTAACTTTTTACGCTACTGAAAGTGAGCACAACCTACATAGATTTGAACAGGTTTCAATCGATTAACACGCTTAGAATCAGAATTCAAGGAGCTGAGAGATAGATCCCCCATACTTTTTTGTGTGCGTTGTCTTCAGTCATGATTTCGAAAAGCAAAGACAAATTCCTTTTTAGCCTGATCAAACGACAACACCCGGTATAGTTCCTTTTCCGAAAATGGGAACATATTAGCAAGACCGGCAACAAATCAATCTGATTGGTTGATTGCAGTTTTGGAGTCCTTCCTGACGGATCTTAAGTCTTAAGACTCCCCCTATTGATCGGTTGGTCGGTCATTAGTTTGGGCGGGAAGAAAAGGGGTGGGGGGGGGGAATGGTTCGAAGGAGTTGTGTCTCGATAACACTTACCTGATCCCCCAACAACGCTCTGTAATATTTTTATGACTCTCCCCCCTTCCCCCCTTCTTCGTCATTAACCCTAAGTTGTCGCGAACTTTTTGTCATTATTCTTTCAGTGTATCATGTTTGTAGTTTTTCCCTCAATCACTAGGTTATTTAAGTCTGTAACTAAGCCTTATAGCATACCATAGCTTGAGTGACTTCACACCGCATAATGACTTCTTTCCTTCAGGCTCAGCTCTGCTGTTTCTGGCACTTTCTGTGACTTTTGAACTTCTATCATCAACGTGTGCAGACCCAGTGAATTTCCAAAACTACACTACTGTTCACTTGAAAGGAGTAAAGGGAGTAGAAGTACCAAAACAAGTAACAAATAACAGGACATCAGAGACGCGTAAGTAATTATGATTCTCTAGTCTCGTACGCGTGTTGATACTTCTCGCTCACTTTAATTTATCTTTATTATTATTATAATAATCATAATTATCACTATTACTATTATTATCGTTATTATTCTTACTAGCCAAAAACTGTGCTGAACTTTACAAATCCGGTGAAAGAATCAGTGGTGTTTACACAATCGACCCAGATGGTTCAGGTGCCTTCAATGTATATTGTGACCATATGACAGCTGGTGGGGATGGACAGTGATCCAGAAGAGAATGGATGGCTCTGTTGATTTTAACCGCACCTGGGATGACTACAAATATGGCTTCGGTTACTTTATCGGTGAATTTTGGCTCGGACTGGACAAAATAAACCGCCTGACCCGAAACGAGACAAACAACAAGCTTCGAATAGATCTGGGAGTAAAAACTGGCACAATTGCTCACGCTGAGTATGGCTGGTTTGGGATTGGGAACGAAATGGCTAAGTACCGGCTGTACCTTGGCAATAAGACTAGTTAGTAAACCATTCTTTAATTTTCATTGTTTGGATTTATCTTTAATTTTCCTCATCTGTTAAGAACCCCCTCTCCCTCCCTCCCTTCCCTTCCACATGGAACATAACAATAATTGTTTGTTCCTCTAACCATCTGATTATTCCGCTCACGCGAGGTTGAGTCCAAGCTTCTCTGTTGAAAAGGGTAGTTTACTTTGGAGTCTGCAGTTCAATGATCAAACAGTTACTGAAGTCAGCTCTAGAAAGATATCATAGTTTGTTTAACTATCCAACTTGCTCACTTTTAATTTAGCCACCTCGTCGAATAATAGTTAATCAGTTGAAAGTTCATGACTTATATGCTAAGAGATATCTATTTCACCGAAGCAGCATGTAGCTACTGCATAAATTGAGTCTTGTTCTGCTGGTTTTTTGTTTGCTTTGTTGTTGTTGTTGTTTTTTTTTTTGTTTTGCTTTGTCTGTTTGTTCGTTTGTTTGTTTTGTTACAAACATCAAGCTTGACGCTTCGAAGGCGTCAGCATGATCCCAAAGCTGATTCTTTTCTTCTTTTTTTTGTTTTGAAACAGATGAGAATGTGACCTCTGATTCCTTCGGTCTTCACAGGAATTTCGCTTTTGGTACCTGGGATAGATATCCTCATGATTGTGATGAAAAGATAGGCGGAGGCTGGTGGTATAGAGATATTGATTGTCCTATTTTGTCAAATCTCAACGGGATTTACTTTGATAATAAAACTTCGCGCGCATTCTACTGGGCTCGTTTGGGTGCCGCACCAGAGGAAAGCTTTCCCAAATCAGCAGAAATGAAAATAAGATCAGTCGACTTCTTTTCTTCTTTTTCACGGTATATTGACTGAAAACCCTTGTCTCTCTTTCGTTTCTGAATGATATTGTAGACCATTCATAGGTCAAAAGATACCTTTCATTGGTCTAACTCAACTATTCTTCATCCATTAATAAAGAAAGTATGTTTTCAATGCAATGCTTGTGATTAGTTTTTTCACCTTAACTTAAGAAAGTACACACACCACAAGGTTGAGTAATGGAAAATGTCCATACTGGTATAAAGTAGAAAAAATGTTTACCTCAGTGTTGATGAAAGTGGTGAATGTGTAATTGCACATCCACCACTAATCCCTAACTATTGATGCTTTGACTTCAACACTAGGTTCTCTTTACAAGTGTCATACATTGCCGTATTTACTAGGGCAAGCGCTGTCCAATCTCCTCCTTAAAGGTGCCATGCCTTAAGTCTAGGCCACACCTATGATTTTCTATTTGAAAACGCGTACTTTTTGGGACACGTCCACCTATTTTTAACGCTAAAACAACCAAAACTGTTGATAGAAATGGAGATTTTGGTTCAAAGGTGGAGCCTATGGAAAAGGTTCTGTTTTTTGGGACGACAATAGACGGAGGTTTCTGAAGAACAAGATCGCTTTTATCGCCACTTTCGAGCGGATTTGTATAGAAAATAGACATCAAAAGCATTAAAAAACCAAACATCTAAACGCTTGTGTGCATGACGAGTTTTCGTACCCTTACCTATAGACGAAAGTGAATACTCATTCAGACGTTACACTCGTTAAGTCGGGGCCTTGAGAGCAGTGATATTGTTAGGCATCTCTAGAATTAACACTTCATCAAAGAATGATGCACTTTTTAGGGAATTTAAAAACATGAGTGTGGGAAAAACTTTTTCTAGAAGATCCAAGCAAATTCATTTTCTAGCATATCAACCTTTTTAAGTTTCAACTGGCCATAGTTCTCTTCTCTCAGGTAATTTTGGACACGGATTTCAAAGGGGGTGAACTCGATGGCTCTTAAGCATAAATCAAGCCCTAAGCCCCTTCAAAATACCTCCCCAAAATCAAAGGTCTAACCGAAAGAAAAGCCAATGGAGAAGGCTGGGTTTGATCGAGTAATTACGGACTCCAGCACATGATACTTTTACATCATAAAATGATACGTAAACCAATCAGCCACAGTGATTGAATTTTGTCTTACATCCAAATTATCCCTTTATCTTATTATGATTGTGATTGGCTGATTAGAGATCGCGTGTTTGAATGTATTCCACCCGGGTAATGCCATCATACAGTTTTTCCCTCACAACAAGACATGAAGTACAGTATTTGCGTGATCCGTGGGGGAGGGGTTAGTACATGGGCCAATTTTTGCTGGGTATGTGCTGCTGGCCTCCCACAACCCCTAGCCTATACTCCAAAATTTAGTCCGCTTGCATTCATAATCAAACCAAGATATATTTTAGTCCATTTTTTTTTTTTCAATATTTTACTCGGTGATTTTTAATTGTTTCATTGTTCGTTGCAGCATCTTGACCGATATAGCTCCTTTTAAATACTTTTAATGTAAAACTGGATCGAGTGAACGGCATCACTAGTTGTTTATTTCTTTTTATATCCAAAAAGAAAAAAAAGAAACAAAAACAAATATGTCCAAAACTAAGATAGATATTCGGAAACGGGAAAGTTATCATAATTCTCTTCATAATTTTAAGATTAAAAAAAAAAAAAAAAAAAAAAAACAAAACAAAACAAAACAAAACAAAACAAAACAGAAACAAAAAAAGAATAAAGAGAATTTGCGTACTCAGTTTACCCTAGTCAGCGCAACCCTTTTATAACTGTCTTATTGTCACTATTATTATCAATATTACTACTAATTTTCTGCACATTGTTCCTAGAATTTAGGAAGCTGCTGATTGAACAAAACGAGCAATGAAAAAGTCGTAAATTTCTTACTCAAAGCTACGAAGTTGTTTTCCTTAGTAATGAAAATTTACTTGGACTTGAGCGAAACCATAAAATCATTTCATAGTTTGCCAAAATGAAAATTAAAAAAAAAAAAAGGTTCATTTGAAACAGATATGTAACGAGGCTGGTATGAGATGAAGAAGATTATAATGAACCGCAATATTTGGTATTCTGCTATTACTCGCGTTTTCAAATCTCAACAGTATTTTCACACGTTGTGGAAATGAAACCTGGACCGATATTCACTGGGGAGAATTAGTTCTTACCAGTGCCAGAGGTAGCGCTTCCAAAACTGATATGAAAATTCGACCACTGGACTCTCTTAGAACTTTCCGTAAGATAAGTAACAACACATAATTAAGTAAATAGTGATTTCCGCGTGTTCTGATCAGTTCAATGTAAAATTCACCCAGAAGAGTCGAATCTTCCATATTCCCTACTTTTACTGCGTTTGTGATTGGCTGATTAGTGATCAAGTGGCCATGCTAGAATTTGCATAGAATCCGCTGGTAAAACATCATCGTAAACTGTTTCCCTCGCGACCAGACATCAAGTGCAATAATTTGATTTGCATCTATAGTGCTGTTGACTCTATTTTATGTTCCTTTCATTGTTTTGGTGTATACTTTGTGAACTATGATTTGAAAATGCTGTAATTCAAAAATTATTCCGCTTGCTCTTGGAAGTAGCCAAAATATTTCTGAATCCAGTTTTCTCATATCTTACTCTGTGATTTATGCGCGTGGTATGAATTCTACAGAGGTGAAATCTGCACCGGCCTAATTTGTGCTGTTTTTAAACGATAGGGACGTGAAGAAAACTATAAGGTAATGGCAACGAGGAAGTCAAAATAAAGGATATCGTTGACAGAATAATAGTACTTAATGTTATTATTACCATAATAATAGTAATAATAATAGTCAGTGCATACGTTAAACCTTTGTTTAGACTTTGTGCGTTCTGACAAAAAAACCCAAATTCAAATGATTTAAGTTTTCGTTTGTAACGCGATGAGGCCTAGAAATAATGATCCATTTACATAGCCTTGGGTACCTGAGACAACCTTTCCCCCTGAGTTACCCTGGACGAGCTACCTTTTCAATCATTTCTTTACAAAATTCAGCCGACCGTTTGCAGGAGGTTGTAAACTCGTCTCTGGTGGGCGAGACAACTTGAGGGGGCGAGTTGTCTCACCTCGGCAGGTAGGGTAGCCCGGACAGGTGGGGCAACTTCTTCTCATGTAAACATCTTGTCTGGCCGACCCGAGACGAGGCAACTGGAATAGAAAATGCGTGCGCACGCCATTACCAGGATGTTTACAGCAATTTTTTCCTATCGTCCACCACTTTGTCAAATGTCAAATTCCATGTAAACGTTCTGTAAAGTTGTCTCGTGGAGAGAGTTTTCTCAGGTACCCTAGACCATATAAGTGGGCCTAAGTTATGCTAAAGCAGAGTTGAAGCGCAGTAAGAGACGATATAAACATGAAGCCATTCGCGAAATTCTAACTTACAATAAACATTCATTTTTTAATCGACGTGTTCCTCGGCGTTGTTGTCCTGACTGCCTAAGGACCCTATTAAGTATTATTCTTTACTACAAGAAAACACTTGAGTACTTTTTCAGTCTCTTTTAATTGCAAAGGTTCAGATTTCTAGAATATGCAGATTAGAAAAAGGACTGCATCAGACTTAGCCATGTAAGTAATTGGTATTAGGAATGTTTGATTATTTCCGAACTTTATAGCATTTGTTTAAAAATTATATTAGTTGAACGTCAAATGAAAATATAACAAACGAACCCTTTATTGCACCAAAGTTATTTCTGAAGGATTTATTTAGACAATGTAGCGTTGTAAGCTATTAGTTGAAGTTTATTTATGTTTCTCTATTTTTCTTTTTTTCTGCCTTGCTAATACTACCTATGTAATGATATTTAAAGTTTTTGTTATTTAATGCTATTAATAAAACCA